TTTTGCCAATGTTCTTGCTTCTCTTCTCTGCTGTTCTCACTGTTCTTTGCTAGTTTTCTGTTTGTGTTAGACTCCAAACACACCTGACTCTACCTGCCTCCTGCTGGTGGCATTTATAGCCGGGTATGGGAGCTAGTTGCCGTGTGGTAGCATGCATACATTAAAATGTCTGCCTTTTCCTTTGCTTATCACTTGCCCTGGTAAGGGATGAGGTAACCTAGTAAATGGTCAATATTGGTTTTACATACATGGATTTTCTGCTCTAGTTGGATAAAGTGATTTGTAAGAAGCAAACAACAACAATATTTTGAAGTTGATACATCCAGCCAGGAACACCAGAAGCACTCCAGATATTTACAGCATAGTACATTTAATGCAGAAAATGGGTGAAAATGGGCAGTGGTGTTCCTGAGAGCCAGGCAAGGCAGAGAGGTGACCCAGAGATTACCAACAGCAGGAAGCCACTGCCACCCCTGGGCTCAGAGAAGGGGCCCAGGGGCCAGGGCTCCCAACAGAAGCTGGAACCTTGACAACTCAAGAGCAGCTGGAGCTGCTGCCAAAAAGCAGAGCCAAGGAAGTGAGAGGAGAGGTTTGGGGAGAAACATCCTGGGTTCTGTGTCCCCTAGCTCTAGCCTCCTGCAGCGTAGAGCAGAGCAGAAGGCGGGGAATGGGCTGAGGACAGAAGGGCCCAGGAACAGCCCTGGGGGTAAAACAGCAGTGCTGAAGAGATCCCTTCTCCTGCCGGTTTCTATCCTTCTTCACCTGATCTCCTCTGAATATGTCCTGGATAAAGTGAAAATCTCAAACTACGCTGGCGTTCACTTCTGTGGATGTGAGAACCCTCTGGCTGGTGTCCTTGGTGTTCCCTTTCTCCTCATCCCTCCGTGCCTTCCCAATCTGGGATCTAAGTGGAAGGATGTGGTCTTCCTGACAGTGGATGACTTCTTTTTGGGTAATAGTACATGATGAACTGGCATCCCCGTTAGAAACTTGTAAACAGGCGTAGAGTGTAGTCCGTTTTGGGATGCTCTAACTCACTTTCTCATACTATGATTGAGATCAGCTAGCCTATGAGTCCATAAAATGGGATCTCTCTTTCTCTTTTAGAAATTAGAAGAATAGTGTTACTTCTCTCTCTTCTGAAACTGATCTTAGATGATTTATCGTGATTAATTAGTGAATATCCCATAGAGAAAACAACGTCAGTTGAGGAAGAATAAATGTTTAATATTTCTTGCTTCCACTGCAAAATAATAAAGTATGTAACCCAACTTAAGTATTCAAAGCACAGTGTGAGGTAGGCGTCCAATGAATGTTTAATGTATAGCGACTCTATTGTGAAAAGTTGGTTGTTGGCTTTAAGAAAGAAGTTCATAGCTGGAGGGCCCTGAGAAGTCTAAAACAGTTCTCTTCATTTGTAGAAAAGGAAACTGGCATTTCCACTTTTCATTTTCAGAAGATGCAAATTTAGCAAAGAAAATGCCTAAATCAACCTTAAAAACAACTTTTTAAAAATTCTAAAAGCCTTAAAAAAAAAAAAAAAATTCTAAAAGCCTTATGCTAATTATAGAAAAACCCGAAAATGATGAGTCTGTGTGTGTGTCCCACAGTGAAAGTTTCTTGTCATACTGCTCCCAGAGATGGATTTGTTCATTCAACAAACATTTTTGGAGCACCCACTGTGTGTCTGGCATTGTACTAGACACTGGGGAAATAGTAGTGGGCAGAACAGTCATAAATAAAATTTTTTATTTTATTTTCATTCTCTTAGCACTTTCTAGTGGAAATGGAAACAAGCAGTAAGTAAATGTGTATGTCAGATGATGGTAAGTGCTGTGAAGGAAGATGAAGGAGAGCAAGGGAGAGTGGGGACACTGCTTTAAACAGGACCACGGAGGCCCTCTGAGGAGCTGGCATTTACGGTGATCCGGAGAAGCAAGAAGGTGAGCCACACGGCTCTCTGGGGGAGCAGAGGCAGTTCTAGCAAAGGGAGCAGTCAGAGACGAGTACTGGTAACACGTCAGTGTGTTTGTCCAGATTTCTTCCTTTGCATACACTAGGCTTTTAATAGAAAGAACAATTTTGGGGGGCCGGCCCCAATGGCCGAGCGGTTAAGTTTGCGTGCTCTGCTTCGGCAGCCCAGGGTTGGGGGGTTCAGATCCTGGGCGCGGACCTCTGCACTGCTCATTAAGCCACGCTGAGGTAATGTCCCACGTGGAAGAACTAGAATGACCTACAACTAGAATGTACAACTGTGTACTGGGGCTTTGGGGAGGAAGAAAAGGAAGAAGATTGGCAACAGCTCAGGACCAATCTTCCTCACCAAAAAAGCATTAAAAAAAAATTTAAAAAATATTTGTTTATACTGTACCTACTTTTTTGTCATTTAATAATCTACCTTCGGATGCCGGCTCGGCGAGCCAAGGAGTGGAAAGAAGGATTTCTTGGACTCTCAAGGTCTGGTAGTAGTGCTCCTTTATTCAGAGAATAGCATGGAGTAGCATGGAGACAGGACCCAGGGGCAGAGAAGAGCTACAGCATGGGGACAGGACCCATGGGCAGAGAAGAGCTGCAGGCATGGCGACAGGACCCATGTGCAGTCAAGAGCTGTAGCATGGCGACAGGACCCATGTGCAGTCAAGAGCTGTAGCATGGCGACAGGACCCATGTGCAGTCAAGAGCTGTAGCATGGGGACAGGACCCGTGGGCAGTCAAGAGCTGTAGCATGGGGACAGGACCCATGTGCAGTCAAGAGCTGTAGCATGGGGACAGGACCCATGTGCAGTCAAGAGCTGTAGCATGGGGACAGGACCTGTGGGCGCTGAAGAGCTGCAGGCATGGGTTGAGGGCAGGGCTAAATTTATAAGGCAGAGATATGTGAGTTATTTCTTTACAAGACAAAGGAAAGATTATGTAAAGTTATTAAAATGCTATCAGTGCAGGTGGGGTCTGGTTATTGGGTGGTCCTATAATTTTGGGTACGAATCAGGTCGAATCCGGTCAGGACCTCCCAGAGGATGATATAGATCAGTATGGAAGGAAGGACACCTTGGGCTCCTCTGCCTGGTGCAGCCTTGATCCTCATGGTCTGTCTTCCTTTGTCCTTTTAATAGCCGTATAACATTTTATTATATGCATTTACCTTAGCATATGTAACGGGTTCTCCACTGATGGACATGTAGGTTGTTTCTGGTTTTTCAGTAATGCAGAGAGTAGTGCTGTAAACATCCTTGTACATATATGGGAACACTGCTGTGTGTGTTTTTCTAAGACAGTGGTTCTCAACCCACTTTAAAAGGCTTAAGGAAATACTGATGCTCAGGATCCATTCAGACCAGTTTTTAAATCAAGATCTCTGGGGACGGGATCTAGACTTTGGTATTTTCTAGAAGTTCCTCAGGGGCCAGCCCCGTGGTGCAGCGGTTAAGCATGCGTGTTCCTCTTCAGCGGCCCGGCGTTCACCGGCTCAGATCTCAGGTGTGGACATGGCACCGCTTGGCAGGCCATGCTGTGGTAGGTGTCCCACATATAAAGTAGAGAAAGATGGGCACGGATGTTAGCTCAGGGCCAGTCTTCCTCAGCAAAAAGAGGAGGATTGGCAGCAGTTAGCTCAGGGCTGATCTTCCTTAAAAAAAAAAAGAAGTTCCTAAGATGATTCCCATCCATAGTCAGGGTTGCGAACCACAGCTGTTGCATGATTCGTAGCAGTGGCCTTGCTGAGTCAATGAAACAGAGGTACATTTTAGTAGATACTGTAACATTGTTGTCTATATTAGGATTAGCAGCAACTGCCAATAATAGAAACCTAAAATAATTTGGCATAAACAAGATAGTTTATTTCTGTTTTATGTGAAATTCTGTACATAGGCAGTCCAGGGCTGGTGTGGCAGTTTTGTTCCACAAAGTCCTCAGGTACCCGGATTCCTTCCAGCTTTTGTTTTTGCTGAACTGAGGGAAAGCTCTTAGCCTCGGTCTCCAAGATGGAGGTTAGAGCTTTTGCCACGGCGACCGTGTTCCAGGCAGCAGAATGAAGGAAGGGTTGAAGACTGAAAGAGGCAAAGGGCGTGGGCCCCCTGTCCTTCTAAAAGATTCCTGGGAATCACCACAAACACGTCTGCTTGTATCCTGTTGGCCAAACTTGGTCACAAGGCCACACCAAGCTGCAAGGAAGGCTAGGAAACAGGCTTTCCTCTGGGTGACCAGTGTGTCCTGCTAAAAACCAGGGGTTCTTTTATGTGGAAGAGGAGGAAAACTGGTAGAGGCAGCCACTTGCTGTCTCCGCCCTGTCCTCTGTGAAAGCTGTCAGACCTGCCCCCTGCCCGTTGTCCGCACCTGCCCAGCTCAAGTCAGCCTGAGCTGGCGAGTCCGCAGAAAGCTTTGTTGCAGAGATGAAGACTTCGGACGGGATGTTGGCTTGGGGAGAGGCACACAGTAAGTTGACATCAGAGGAAGAAACTTTATCGTGTATGAGAAAGTAATCAAGGTGTCGAAGGCCAGTTGTTTTTTTTTTTTAAAGATTTTATTTTTTCCTCTTTCTCCCCAAAGCCCCCCGGTACGTAGTTGGGTATTCTTCGTTGTGGGTCCTTCTAGTTGTGGCATGTGGGACGCTGCCTCAGCGTGGTCTGATGAGCAGTGCCATGTCCGCGCCCAGGATTCGAACCAACGAAACACTGGGCCGCCTGCAGCGGAGCGCGCGAACTTAACCACTCGGCCACGGGGCCAGCCCCTGAAGGCCAGTTTTTAAATGTACCGTTCTTCCTCTCCCCAACGTTTCAGCTCTCTTCATAGAGGGAATGTATTACCTTTCAGCAGGGCCTTTGTTAGTTATTTATTAACATATTCAAGTTAGTCTTAATGCTGCACACGCTTGTTTGAACATATCGCTCAAAGAGGACATCTTAATACATAGTTTTCACATTTCAAAGTAAATATTTTTAAATTAGGAAATGAAAAGTAGATTGATATGTGACTTTTTTAACCAGTACTTTTTGTTATTGCAGTGGATGAAGGTCGCAGTCAGGAGCCTGACCGATTGCAGGTGCTTTACAAGAAAGTCGTCATGCCTTATGGTGTTTATAGGAAACAGCAGAAAGACCCCAGCGAGGAGGCGGCCGTGCTGCAGTACGCCCGCCTGGTGGGGCAGGCGTGCTCCGAGCGCATGCTGCTGTTCAGGAGCTGAGGCCGCTCCCGCGCCCCTCTGCCCAGCGCCCACGCGGTGCTGAGGAGGTGTGTCCCGGCACAGATTCATTACTGTGGGGAAATTCCAAAACCATCCACAAATGAGACTTCTTTATTTTAACTGTTATATGGCTTTTCTAAAATATTTTGTGGCAGTGTATTTGTGAGAATCTCATGATTAAAGATTTTTAAAATGTTATGACCTAGCCTCACAATTGGGGTTTATCATTTTGGAAGTTTGTTTTATCAACAAGATGTGGTAAACTTCTCTTGTTAATATTTTGGAAAGTAAAATTAATATGTGACTCATAAGTGATTTAAATCACAGTTGTGCTTTTTTGTTCTGTTAGGGAAATTAAAACAGACTGTTTCCTCAGATCTATTTAAAACATCACTTTATGCAAAAAACCATAAGTGTGGGGAGGAAGGTGGGAAGTCCGTTTCATCACTTAGAAATGTCTTCTCAAGAGAACAAAGCTCTGCTGTCACTCCATGTTCAGTGTTAAATCACTGCCAAATGTCGTGTTGTGCAGTTTAATAGAAAACTCAAAAGAGGAAACATGAACATTAAAAAAAGGATGTCATGTTAACATGGGACGTCTGTTTACCCAGTACAGTCCTTTTCATGTCTATTGTCTTGGCGTGATTATTTTTCTTAGAATAATTATTAATAGTACTCCCTTTCACTCTCAAAAGTATCCCAGCATTGGCAATAAAATATACATTATATATTTTATTGTATGTAAAACATATTACCCTAGTTATATATTATGTTATTTGCCCAGTTTCTAAAAATCTTAAGAAATTGAGTTTTTTAAGAAAAATTTTGGCTCCTGCTTTGACCTAAGCCCCATCAAAAGTAAACATGCACTTATTTTTCATTCCTTAGAACTCAGGACACTTGTCTTTGGTTATTGATTAAAAATTTGTTAATATCTGACTGCTTTTATAACTACGTTACAAATCACATTTAATGAAGTAGGCATCATTTGACCTCTGTTCCAAGGGCGTGAGGTGAGACAATCCATTTCTTGCCCTTTGATTTGGAAGAAGAGGAGGTGCTACACTTAGTAATTTGAAGCAGAGGGTAGCACCTTCTTTCCTTCTCTCTCTCTCTTGTTTGGTCCTTCACCCATTCAGCAAGTGTCCCTTGTCCACCACTGTCAAGGTGGCAGGCACTGTGCTGGGAGGAAGGAAGAGAGCCAGATGGGTCGGTTCCCAGTTACGCTTGAGTCGTGCTGGAGACCGGGGAGAAGGGAGGAGAGTTATCTTCTTGTGCTCGTTCTCAGCTGATCTCCATCTTCTGCCAGCTGCCTGGCCACTGAGTCCGTTTCATTCCTTGTTTTGCCCGTTTTTCTCTTTTCTGTTGATTGATCTTTTTAAAAACCATAGTATAAAACTTGTAGTCTGAATCCCACTACTGATTTTAAATTTTACTCCTAAATGCTCTGAATTTAGATAAAACATTATAGAATAATTTCAGCTAGCTAGAATGAAAGGAAGGATCATACATAAAACAATAATTTTAAAAATCAAATGTCTAGAAATTGAACGTCCAAATAAACTGTGCATTTGTTCACTCAGAGTGTGTGTGTGTGTGTGTATAACACCTGCGTGTGCAGGTGCTTGCTCACTGGGGATAGAGTACTGAGCAAAGCCATATTCTCTGATTGTGTGGATTTCACATTCCTTTGGAATTTTGTCCTTGAAGATAGTTTCCCAAGAGCATTTGATCGACTTTTATTTACAACTTCCTTCAGAATGGGTGGAACATTTTCTTTTTTCCCCTTCTAAAATGAAGATAGCTTAATTTGTTTATTATTACAGAAATGATACTGTAAGCAGTTAGCATGTTAAGAAAAGTATAAATAAGAAAAATCATCTGAAATTCCACCATACCAGAGAAAGAATTGTTATATATCTATATATACACACACACACACACAATTTTAATGTAAATCGAATTACACTCTACATGTGTCCTCAACAGTAAGTTATGGACTTACATATCTGAATTTTGAAAGAAATTCCAAAATACGATTTCAGAAGTGTTGAGGGTGATGTTAGTATTCTCAGAGTAGTAGACTACGTCGGTACTTGGTACGCTTGGCATTTTAAATGCCCACGTTGATGTCACTAGCTGCATTCCACCTACTTAGTGATGAGCGTAGAATGGTCTCCATAAAGATCACAACTTCGGAGTATTGAATGAGAGAAAACTTTAATTTTACATCTTACCACAATTCTGGTTTCCTCCTGCAGAATTCAGTTTAGGGTTCCTTCAGAGGACAATGATTCGTCACTCCTGTGTGGGAACCATGGCACTCTTCCTGAGGGTGGCATTCTAGGTTGGCTCCAGTGGGGCTGCAGAGAGAGTTGGGCCTGAAGATTCTCCTCTCCTGTTGCTATATTCATGCGCTGTTTTTTTGTGAGTAGGTCGTATATTGATCCCAGTGAGCAAAGTGTTTTCAAAAGACAATTATTTGTTCTTTTGAGCCCTAGCTGAGTGAATATCAATAGTGGGCTAGGAAAGGACAGTCAAAAAAAGTGACCAGGCTTTGTCAGTTGACGGGCAACCTAGTTAAGAAATCTGATTTTATGTTAATGGCTTTCCTCTAAAGAAAGACACCTGAGGACCTTTCAAAGCGTTTATACTTATTCAAGGCTGGAAGCTTTGCATTTACTATCTTAGTGTTGTAGTCCCTTTCTGATTTCAGATAAATTCACACCTCGCTCCTTGTCTTGGGAGCAAAAATTTAATAGAGATTCCCCATGCTACTGTCTTTATTTAAATTATTTCAGTTCTGTGAGATTTTCGTTATCTTATTTTTAAAAAACGCAATCGGAGCACTTTTTTTTATATTCTAAAAGATAGAGGCTGTTATCAGATGAATATATTATTCATTTGATTAAAATTATTTAGATAAGAAATTATTACTGTTTGTGTTTGCTTTCAAACAACTTTTTATCCATTTTCCAAAATATCAGTTGTGTGTAGTTTCTTACCGTAGGAGAATCTACTATGTAAATGAGCCATTTCAGCTTTCTGAACAGTATATGGGTTGATTGTATAGGTTTTCTATTGTTTCAGTATGAATAAAGATGAGAAAGAATATGATGACCAGTTACCTAAAATGTATCTATTATCGCTAATGTTGAAGAAAGAAGGAAATGAAATGGAAACAATTGGGAAATGTTTGAAGTAGAAGTTACTCAAATGTGTATTCTCTTCCAAAAGGAAACCAGTGACTAAGGCAAAACAAGTTTGATTGCACGTGATGTTTTTTGCTCTTGTGTATGCTTTTTGAACAGTCCATTTGATAAAGCTTGAATGGAGAAAATAAAGCTGCTTCTGTCTGCAGTGGCTCTTGCTGGTCAGTAGTTAAAAGACATATAACTTTATCTTTTAAATTCTCGAATACATTACCTGTAATGAATATGCAGAAAACATTGGTTATACGAGTCATAATATTTTCGATAATTGAATTCCAGATCATTTGGTTACCTCAATCAAAGCATAATGGATTCCTTTCTCTGGAATAAATAAAAGCAAAATAGATCTCACTTTAAGGAAAAAGTCTGGACTTTTGTAAGATAAATTAGGGAATAGACATTCCTTTTCCCAAAGGGATTCAAAATGAGATTTAAGTAGCAAACTCGAATATAATTTCTCTTAGAAATTTAGTTTACAGAGAAATTTCCAGAAATATCTCATAAAGTGTGCTTTAATCATTCATAGTAGTCCACACCATATTTATGGAATACATTTACAAGTATTTTGCCTTTTTTTACAGTAAAGAGAATCCTGATAGGTTTATGGTAGGTGAATCCTATTTTCCAAGTGATTTAAATATTAATTATGATTCCCACTGATGTTTTTTTCCAGAATGGAAATAGCTTTGTTGTTTTTCTTATTTGAAGTGTTCAGTGTTCACCAGAGAAAAGGATACGAAAGAAAATAAAAATCACTTCTAATCCCCTCACTGATCACTACTACCATCTCTGCCATTCACATTTTGGTGTATATCCTTTCAAACTTTTTTCCACTTATATGAATGTATATGTTTTGTTTTATTTTTAAATAAAAATGTAATGCTGTGTATACTGTTTCATAATTTTTAAAATATATTTCAACATCCTAGTATATTGTGAACATGAAAATGACGGAAAATAGAATTGTTATAATGGCTGCATAGTATTCCACTGTGTCTGTTATCTTTTGAGAAAGGAAGCTTAAGCCTTTAGCCCCTCCTTATGGGTAACAGGAGTTGTTGACCAGCATTAATGTTTTTTATCAATTCTTTGTAAGACTTGGTAACATTGTTCTTATTCCTTTTTTTTCTCACTTCTCTGCCTTTCACTAAACAGTAGGAACTTTCTCCTTCCTTGAAGGTTCAGAAAATGTGTAGCTTTTAAAACTTGGTGCCCCTGCTCTCATTGTCCCTCAACTAAATACTTTCTGGGAGATCTACACTACCTTTTTTTTTTTTTTTTTTTTTTGAGGAAGATTAGCCCTGAGCTAACTGCTGCCAATCCTCCTCTTTTTGCTGAGGAAGACTGGCCCTGAGCTAACATCCATGCCCATCTTCCTAGTCTACTACACTACTATTTTTACAGTTTGCACACCTCAAAAATTTCCAGTTAGAAATTGTCTTCTTAAGGTTCTGATTCATTGATTCTTTACAGAACAAAGGTCTTTCTTTAAAATGGGTGCCTGGGAAGAGTGGGTAACCATACCACTATTATTAATTGAGCTGTTTTTGACTTTTAAAAATATCTTGGTTGGGGCTGGCCCTGTGACCTAGTGGTTAAGTTTGGCACACTCTGCTTCGGTGCCCCAGGTTCGTGGCTTTGGATCCCAGGCACTGACCCACACCACTCATCAGCCATGCTGTGGTGGCAACCCACATACAGAATAGAGGAAGATTGGCAGAGATGTTAGCTCAGGGCAAGTCTTCCTCAGCAAAACAAACAAAACTTTAAGATTTAATTCTAAGAAAAATTTCATTTTTATATCCAATTGGTTGTCAGAGTTCCTATCTTCAATTCAGTCCTATCCAGGAAGTTTCAATTAGACCAAGAAGTAAAGTTGTTGAATAGTTTTACATGCCAAGTTTTTATTCTTTTAGAATTTTAAAATGGCTTGCAGATTTTTATAGCTTGATTTCCTCATCACATCTCTTCACCTGCAATATGAAGAAATAATTCCAACAGAAATGCTGTTGAAAGCAAAAAAACCTGGCATTGCAAATCTTAATGTTATGTGGCATTTGTGATATTTAATAGTTAATTACCCTTTAACATGGCGCTCCAAAGTAAACGTCTCAGCCGTCCTGGAGGAGGAGAGAGACGTCCTTCACTTGTCTGGCATGCATAAAACAGACTATTATTAACTAGCACAAAAATCTTCATTTCTTTGATCATTATATGTGATTAAAGCCAGTGTACAAAGAGTGGTTTTTAAATTTTATCTATTTATTTATATGCTGCAAGCTAGAGATGTTATACCAAAAAGGTATAAACACTGTGCTTCTAACTTGCATAATTCAACTATGTGATTTTGGATCATGTTTTCCCCTGAACCTTAGTTTTTCCTGCTTTCGTCATTCTGTGCCAGGGTCTTAAAATCATTTAACATAGGCCCCCTTTTTTTTTAATTAGCGTTAAATGAGAACTCATGAATACTTCATGAAGTCCAATTCATCACACTTTGTTAATTCAGTATTCAGTGAGTCTGAATAGCATCAGTCGACTAATGGAGCTTTTTGATCAGGAAACAAGAAAACAGCATTTCAGGTTTGTGAATTCAGAGCTTAAGGCTCTCAGCTCAGTTGTGTATGGACAGTTCTCTGTACTTGTCCAGCATATTTTAGAATATTGAAAGATAGCCAGACTGTAATTTGGAAACTAACTATTGCTGGTGTAATTTTGACTATTAAAGATTATATATATAATCTATATATTATATACACACACAGCGAGAGAGATCATGCACTTAATTAAAGCTTGCTAATAACAATATGATTCATTGTCAGTTTTCATTCACCCTTGATAAAGTGTTTAGATTTATAAGCCCGTTGTAGAAGTCGGGCAAACCGAAAGCTCCCCTTTCCAATAAGGTAGCCACTAGCCGTGTGTCTCTATTCAGTTTAATTGAAACTTAGTTCCTCAGCCTCACCAGCCACGTTTCAAGTGCTCGGTAGCCACATGTGGCCCACGGCTGCCGTTTTAGTTTTCTGGGGCTGCCATAATAAGTTGCCACAACCTGGGTGGCTAAAACGACAGGAATTTATTCGCTCATGGTTCTGGAGGCTAGACATCCCAAATCAAGGTCTCCTCAGGGCCGTGCTCCCTCTGATGGGCCCCTTCCGGCTTCTGGTGGTTACCAGAAATTGGTGTTCCTTGTCTGGAAGCTGCATCACTCCCAATTTCTCTCTGCGTGTTCACATGGCTGTCTTCCCTCTGGGTCTGTTTCTCTGTGTCGTCTTCTCATCTTACAAGGACTCCAGTCATACTGGATTTAGAGCCCACCCTAATCTAGCATGACCTCATCTTAACATTCGCAGACCCTAATTCCAAAGAAGGTCACGTTCGCGGGCACCTGGGGTTAGGACCTGGGCACATCTTCAGGGGGCAGGTACTTCATCCCGGAAGAGCTGCGGTGTTGGGCTAGTGCAGGCAGAGAACACCTCCACCTTTGCAGCAAGTTCTGTTAGTGGTGCATAAGGTGATTTTAAAAAACTAAAATATGCCATGGTTTGATACATTTTTTAGGTTTCTATATGGCAAAATACCATGGAACTATTACAGCAGAACATTTGGGGCAACTTATTGTGACCTTTTCTGGTTTCTTGTAATTTGCATGGTGCAGCCTATTTCCAGCTTGGAGGTAAGTGCAGCCGTGCGTACGTGTGGATTACCACGGGGCTGTGTCAGTTTCCTAAGATAACGGCCATGTCATTATGATTTAAACTGTGTACAGAGATAATGTTTCTTTAAAGAACAATTTGAATGAATGAAAGATTAATTTGGAAATATTTACACAAGATTCCTCCTATTTATGATATCCATTTTAATGTTACATTTTGAATTTTCTTTCAGGTTTCTAGGTGTTCTAGTTAAGTGTTTATTTGGGATCAAATGGAAAATTTTTTTTATACGTTTATCAATAAAAATCTCTGAATCTATAGCATTAAAAGAATTTAAATGTATCTCCCAAAAGAGTGACCTTTGGGAGTGACCTGACTTTGCAAAAAAATGTGGGAAAAATAAATCCTCCTTACAACATCTCTCTTGTCCTGTTTAATATAGAGCTGGTGGCTGCCTCGTGAGTCAGTCAGTCCAGAAGACAGATTAGGTTGGTTTACAGCTCTGCTTTTCTTTTTCTCCCCAAAGCCCCAGTACATAGCTGTCTATCCCAGTTGTAAGTCCTTCTAGTTCTTCTATGTGGGATGCTGCCACAGCACAGCTTGATGAGCAGTGTGTAGGTCTGCGCCCAGGGTCGGACCCAGCAAACCCTGGGCCACCGAAGCAGAGCGCTCGAACCCAACCACTACGCCACCAGGCCAGCCCCCGCCAGCTCTGCTTTTAAAACAATTTTTATTCCTTTACTATTGTATTTTTAAGTGTAATTTTGATTACTGTTCTTTTCCTAGAATGGCCTATTTCTAACCAAAACTGCATATCAATGTCCTTAACATGGACATCTTACAGAATTTCACTAGAAACATGCTATTTAGATACAGAGAAGTTAGTTTGGATTTGCTTCCCCAAAATTGGTTGCAGACATCCGTGAGCAAAGCTGGCAGTGGTGGGAGAGCCAGAGGAGCCTTCGATGTCGGTCAGTGGCCACTAGGAGCTCTGCACAATGTGAGGGACAATGTCCCTGCAGTTAAGAATTACTATCTTGAGGCCGGCCCGGTGGCGTAGTGGTTAAGTTTGCACACTGCTTCATTGGCCTGGAGTTTGCATGTTTAGATCCTGGACACAGACCTACACACCACTCGTCAAGCCATGCTGTGGCATCATCCCAGGTATAAAATAGAGGAAGACTGGCACAGATGTTAGCTCAGGGCCAAGCTTCCTCACACACACACTCACAAAATTTTTAAAAAAGAATTGCTATCTCTAGCCTCCCTGGTTCGCTGCCTATTCTTGAGAGCCACGTTGTGATTTACTTAATATTTTTCCATCTGCTATTTTATTAAGAAGGCCAGGGAAACATCACTGTGTGGCCAACTGTGTGTAATTAGAAGTTCTGCATCTGCAACAACTGGTGGTTGATGCTTGAGGTAATTAATATTTCTGGTAGTGTCACCAAAGGTTCTGTTGGGAGAGTTTGGAAATAAAGGAACCAAGTTTAGAGAAAAAATCTGGAGGACAGTTTGAGCTTATTATAACCCGAGTGTTACTCATTTCTCTTCCCCTTTTATTGCCTCCGTCAAGACGGGACGAAACTGTTAGATGTCAGCGTTATCGGTGACTGACTGACGATGAGCCTTGGGCTTCGCTTATCTGCAGGTTGCTTATCTGGCCACTTCACCATCTGGAACGTAAATGGAGTAACAAAAAGTAATGTAAAAGAAGGAAAGAAAGGAACTTGTCTCTAAGCAGCTAAAATGGGCTGAATCCAGGCACTAAAGCTCATGCCTTCCTCGTGGGAAAGCCACTTGGGCCGTGAGGCATAAGGAGAAGAAATTTTTGGTGCCAAAGTAAAAAACTAAAATGAACTGGAAATGACTTGTTAATGGAAGAGTGGCCTTCATCTGGCCAGGCCTGCTGTCTGCATGGCCGACAGGCAACGCTGCCCTGGTGGACAACTGTCCTGGGCGGCCAGACTCTAGCACGGAAGGAGGACTGTCGGAGGGGAGTGCTGCCGTCAGACCAAGAGCAACCTTCTGACCGCTTCCACTAGCAAGCAGATCCTTCTAGGTTAAAAAAGAGTGAGGGCAACCTGGACTCCACAGGCAAGCTGGACTGGGTTCAAGTCCCAGGATCACTTACTAATTGTGTGACCTTCAGCAAGGGCACAAGGTCAGCAGACCTCAGCTTCCTCATCAGGAGTGGTGACCTGTGCAGGCCAGGGCCCAGCTGGTAGGACTC